GTGTGTGTGTGTGTGTGTGTGTGTGTGTGTGTGTGTGTGTTGGGGACGGGGCGGGGGCTCTCTTTTTGTTTTACTTTTTAACATTTATTTTGCTGACCTGTTTGGCGAACACGGCTATATCTTCATTGAATGACTCTGACGAGCAGACGTCCCCGCCCGCCACCCCCGGCTCGCGGGGGGTACAAGTAGCTAATTCACATTTCTCAAAAATCAGTGCTAAGAGAGGGAAGAGGGGGTGTCTGCAAGAAAATACAACAGTCACAAACAACATAATGGTTAGTCCCCAGTCAGTGGAAAAAGGTGCCCAAGAAAAACAGCCGGAGGAGCAAGAGGAACAGACCCCCTCTCCGATTGTGTCATCTACTTTTCTCCTTTTCCTCACCCCCCCCACCCCCGCGCCCAGGTGACCGCTCACCTCCCCTTCCTCCTGGAGCCCTGATGTCGGAGGCCCTGAGCCATGGACCGTATCTGAGGATGGGTTTAGCATATATGGCCGGAGAAATTGGCAACATTTGCTACGAATAAAACCCCAGCGTTTCCAGCAGCCATTTTGAATTAAGTTTCCCACCCGACAAGCCCTAGTCCCCTCCACTGCACATCCAGGATCCGGTGGAGGAGAAAGACGCCAGGCGGAGGGGTAGGGAGGGCTGGTTCCAGCGGGTTCCTCCTAGGCGGCCCTGTGAAGCCCAGCCTCGGGGGATTCGGTGGCAGGCGCTCAGCTAACTTGGGGAAGGGACGTCCATGGCCGTGGGACCGACTGTCACCGGGCTACACCTACGGATCTCAACCCCAAGGCCCTCGGAGAGCCCGGAGCCTCCTCCTCAGCTCCTCGCACACTCCCCTCCCTTCGCAGATGGCCCCCACTGCCCCCCAAAGAAAGTTCCTTCAAATGTTCCTGCGGTAAAACCTTTCATTTTGTCTCTGCAAAGTGGCAAAGCAGCCAGTATTGCGAGGGGCCTAGTTGTCGTCGCTTGTCTCGGCCCATAAAAAAGAAAAAAATAAAAAAGAAAAAGAAAGAAAGAAAAGCTTCTTCTAATGCCCAAGGAGGTGTCTCAAGCCTTTTATTAGCTCTCACAGCCCAGCTGGGAATTTAACAATTTGGGGTCCCTTTCAAAGCTTCCCCAAATGTTCTGTCCCGGAGCCTAAACCACGCTGCAGACAGAGCGGTGGGATTTAAACAAGCCCATCGCATAAGGGATCAGAAAATAAAGTAAAAAGAAAATCTATTTTTTTCCAGCTGGGGAGGGTCAATGTGTCCTGATTAAAAAATAAATAAATAAATAGAAATCAAAGTTCCTGCAAAGTACAAAGAGGTCCCCGAATGTATCGGCACACAGTAGGCACAAGCGAGTTTCAAAGGATTCTACTAGCCCAGGGTCTAATTGCATGGCGGAGGAGATCAAGCAGTGTAAACCGCAGCCAGAAAACCTCCGAGGAAGAACGCCGGGAATTTTCTTATTTCCAAATCCTGCAGGTTTCACCTTTGAGCACAAAGTGCTAAAACATCTCGAAGTTTCTGAATGTGTGTAACAGTTCACAGCAAGCGCCTCTCCTTGACTTCAGTGGCAAATTCCCTAAATGCAAAACATGTTCCCCCTTGCTTGACCTGCAACTGTCCTGCATTGGTTTTATTGTGCAGTGGCAGAGCCAGCATAAGGCTGCTGAGTAAACTTAGCAAGTCAGAACAATCAGTGGCTTAAAAGAGATTTTCCCTTAAACTAAAAGTTTCGTTCCAACACAAAGGCGCCTACATTTAGAAACCCCTAACGCTCTCAGGCGAAAAAATCAAGCGAGGGAGGACTCTAGCCGCTGAGGGAGTCTGACAAGGGGACAAGGGACCTTAAGCCAACTTCTCCTGATCTGGGACCCCCTTGCAGGCAGTGCATGGTGAAGCAGAGCACTGGGTGTGCACAGAGTGTGTATGGAGATGGAGGGCGTCGGGGATGGCAGGCCACCTCCCCAAATTCTCCATACAACATGAAGGAAAAGTCACCAAAGATGTACCTCCAACCCAGAGAACTCTGATTTTCCTCTTATCAACGGCACAGGGAAAGAGGGAAGCATCGAGTCTCAACTACTTAACCTGCTGCCCATTGTACCTACCCATAAATGGCATCTTTATCTCTCTTTAAAGCGTCATTGACAGAGGAGCCCATGCTGGGGGCCATGGCGTTGGTATGAGCTGTGTGCGGGTACTGATGCGAGTGCAGAGGAGGCCCGTGGTTCAGGTGGTGGACCGGCTGCATGGACCTGGCTGCATGCGGGTCCCCATACATCGTGGAGGGGATGCCTACTCCATCCATGCCCCCGTAATGGGGTAGATCGTCGTACTGCATGACAAACAGGAGAGAAAGAAGGTTCAGAAGGCCAGGCGGGCAAATGGGAGAACCGCAAGGCACCGAGCTTATATAAGGTCAGTCCAGTTGGATCCTTCCACCCGGAATTCGGTGGCCTTGCGTCTCTAAAGCTGAGTTTTCTTATTTTACAAAAGAGATTTTTAAGTAAAAATGACAGAATTCTCAGTGAGACTCGCCTGGGATGAATGATCTTGCTCTAACTTACGTCCCTATCAACTAGTTCAGAAATTCAGGCTCCTTTGGCAAGGAAGGAAGGAAGGAAGAAAGAAGGAGAGAAAGAGAAGCATTTTCTCGGGGGTGGAAGGTGAAACGAGCATGTCTCCGGAGGAAGAAATTCAAAATCACAATAATAAAACGTGCCGGAACAGTGCAGCAAACCTGCCTACTTTCACAGCCCCTTCACATCAGGGGGAATTAAAAAAAAAAAAAAAAAAGTTACGATGGGAACAGCTACGCCAAGCACGTGAATTTAGACAGGCTTCTCATTTTATTTCCCTGCCAGCATGAGGTTAGGCAGTCCTGCAAGACACTGCATTTCTTTTGCTTTCCAAGACAAACTTTGCTAAATTATATAAAACTAACTGACCCCTTATACATGAAACTCAAAGAAGGGTAGCTTTTCCTGAATATCAGAGCTGAATTTAGAATTGAGCAATCCCCCCCCCCCAAAGTTAAAGAAAATCTGCAGTTGAAGCAGCTAATGTTCTATTTTCTTATTTACTCTTATGAACTTTCTTTCCAGACGAGAAGTCAAGGAGGTAAATGTTACTCACCAGGTTTAAAGCAAATTCAAATGCAAATGAACAGAAAACCTATCTTCCTCTTGCAGAAAAAAACACAAAAACCAAAAAACCCAAACTACTTTCATATTGATTGTCATTATTTTGTGTGTGTGAAATTTAGCTATTTAGGTTTTTCTAATTGGTTCATTCCAGGCAAGTTATTTTCCCAAGATTTGGAGGCGCTGAGAGTGAAATGATTTTCAAAGAAAGGAGGAATTGCCACTTTCATCTCCTTAAAGCCAGAGGTGTGAAAAGAGTTTGGAAGAACGCTGACATTTGCCTGAACCAAAGGAGTAAAGAAAAATATGTCAGCCTGGTAACTTTCTTTTGCAAACAGGGCTTTGAGGGCCAGGACACAAATTATGCAGGAAGGCTTTTTGCAGACCCCCTTTCTTTTAAGAAACTACCTCAGTGGTTGTCATTGTCTCACTTTACTCTCACTGCATTTCCATTGAAAAAGAAATATGGGGAAATTAGTATTGTATTTTTAAAGTGAGTAACGGTGTGCTTAGTATCTAATTAGTACATGGCTTATCTAAGAAAAACTTGCAAAATATTGCCTTGAATACAAATCTATACAAATTGAAATTATAAAAAGATGAATGTTTTCTGATAAAAAAAAATTGGCTATACTATGACAAAGGTATTTGCTTTAAAAAGCTAAATACTTCTAGTGATATTAAAGATGAGCATAATCAATAACATATCTATCAGAAGTTTCCAGCTGCATATTTTAGTTTAAACATAACTTTTAAACTTCTGATCTATGAATATTCAAATTTAGCATTAGGTATCTAGCTTCTTTTTTTTTTTTAAGCAGATGATTGTTTGAGCTTGCATTTTTATTTATATAGCTGCTAGTTAGGAATCTACAGATAAATTGATTCCTTTAATTAACAACTGCAAGTAACACACACAAGTCTACAAATGCATTGAATAAATCCTCTCTCTTTAGGCCACGGCTTTAGGAGCCTCAGTTTTAAAAAGAGAGAGAAAAAAGGAAACTTTTTAGTAGTGTCTTTCGGCCACGTTTCAATTTAATCTCACATTTGAGTTCTACAATTGTTTTTTAATACGTACCCTTTGCGCCATCGGCCTCTCTGGCTCCCTTCCTACTTCAACTTCTAATATATCCTCTTTAAGGCCAGTGTGAAAAGAAACAAATATGCAAACTCCCCCGGAAAAAAAAAAAAAAAAAAAAAAAAAAAGACGACGAAAAATCCCTTAAAGTCTCCTGCAACGTGAGCTACTGGTCCCAGATCTTCGGTCTACGGGACCTGAAGCAAAGCGCCCGAGTCACTGAACATAAAAGCGCTCCGTTTCCAAGACAGCAGCGGGGGCAAAAAAAGCAGATCTTCTCTCCCCCAAAAATCAGTTTAAAAAAAAAAAAAAGAGCGCCCCTCAGAACCAACTACCAAATCTCATGGCTTTCTGCCACTCCAGCTGTCAATCACAGGCGAGGTTGTCAACGTGGTGAATGAATGATCATCCGCTCTGTCTTCTTCTGGTCAGAACACCTCAAATGTTAATATTCAAATGCACAAAGCCCTAGCGCTTGCTTCCCTTGAATCAGTTCTAATTTCTAATCAGTTTCTCTCTTCTCTCTCTCTCTCTCTTTCTTTCTCTCCTTCTCTCTCCCTCTTTGCAAGTGCTGCACTGGAGGGAGATTAGAGAAGGAGGGTTAAAAAAAATGTCTGTCTGAGTTTGTCTTAAAGGAGCCACGATCGATGCTGCCCGCTTGCAGTCCCCGTGCGTGTGTAAAGTGTGTGTTGCACAGGCGGAGAGGTGGATTCCGACCAGAATGCTAGAACCCGGAAGTAGTGGTGGCCATAACAGGTCGCGTCTTACACAATGCATTGGGCTGCAGCAAGTAGGCTCCTCGGCAGGGGTGGGTGCGCGAAGCGAGCTCCGGCCGCACTCGAGAGGCAGAGAGGCGCTCCATTAAATCGCAAGCCGAGACACAAACACCACACACCCAGCGCACACGCACACAAACGCAGGCAGTAGCCCGCGGCCGCCGGCTTTATTTTCAGTATTCTTTTCTCTCCCTCCCCCTGCAGACTTTCTCCCCAAAGCCCGCTCTCTTGAAATAAATTGGGAATCAACGCCCGGCAGGCAGGAGCGGGAGTTATTTTGCACAGGGCTCCGAGCCTAGACCTCATGACTTTCCTAGAAATTATTGAGGTCTGCCAGTGTTTTTCGGGGTAGGGGGTGATGCGCAAAGTACTGAATTCTCAGAACTAAACACTGCAAGGAGAAAAGTCAAACCGAGAGCGTGGAGGAGAAGGAGGAGGAGGAGAAGCCGGGCTGGGAAAGCCTCTGCTAAGGAGTCCTGAGAACGTGGGGTGGAGGTGGCTCCGTCTTTCGGCAGACCCAGCTGAGAGGTTCCTTTGCTGTTCGAGGTGGACGCCGGGCCAGGGGGAAAAGGAAATACTCGCATTTTGTCACTTCGGGTCTAGACTTCCCCACCTCCTAACCCCAGCGGCTCCCAACCCCAACCCAGGCGTCCTGCGCGAAGTAGAGAGGAAGGGAGGGAACAATGAGCTGAGCGCCGGGATTGTGCCCCCGGTGCCTGTTTACAAACACCAAGCTATTTATGATCGCCGGAAAGCGAGACCCGGCGCGGGCTCTCAGCACCCCAGTCCTCGCGGGCGGAGCCCGGGCCGGGGAGCCGCGGGGAGGGAGGCGCTTTCTCCGACCCGCTGGAGGAGACGCGGCAGTGCGCCTAGGGCGCGGCGCGACGCTGCCGGAGTGCTAGTCTCGGGCTGCAGTCACCGCTGCCTTTGTCTTAGAAGCGCCGGGGAGCTCCAGCCTCTGTCTCTCTCGGGCCTGGAGAAGCCCCGGGCCCGCCCCCCCGCAACCCAAGCTCTTTCTCCAGCGACGCCCTGCCCTCACCACCCCAGACATCATTTCCCGCACTCGTCCTCCCCGTCCCTAACCTGGCTCGGCGAAACCTCCCAGTGCCAGAGAAAAAGAAATCCTCGGGAGCTGAGATTTCAGACAAAAGCTGCCCGTACCTACAACTCGGAGGCTCCAATCAGCCACTGTTGTTGTTGTTTTTTTTTTTTTTTTTAACTTTAACACCTATTCACTGGGCTTTAATTTTTCCCTTTTATTCTCCCACTCTAAGCTTGTCCCTTGTGATTATATTTAGTGGCGTTATTTTCGTATTTATATTTCTGTCCGCTGGACTCGGATCTGCCGAGATGGCTCAGCCGCAGCAGCTCTTAACAGCGGCTGGAAACCTCACATCCCCAAGCAGGGCTCGCAGCTTGCTCCGCTCGGAGAAGATTTTTTCCCCCTCCCTCCAGCTGAAGCGTCGCAGAAAACTCCCCCTGCGGTCGACTGGAAAATGAGCTCACCCAAATCTCGGTAGGCAGCCGCGGAGGAGCTCTCGGCCAATCAGGAGGCGCCCCCGCCCAGGCAGCCGCGCATTGGCTGCGGGGAAAATCAATTATCAAATAATCGATCAGCAGGGAGCTTCGATCTGCGGGGAATGCAAACTGCCAGTCCCTATTCCCACCCTGAAGGTGGCCAAAAGGCTGACTCCCTCCAAGCAGCCGGCCCGTACCTCCATGGTCCCCACCCCCGACCCACTCGCCAGTAGCGGACTGAACCCTCACCCTCGAGTGAGTGTAGACAGGGGGGAAGAGTTTTGAGAAAGACTGGGGGGATCCTTTCATCCGGAGATTGTTTGGGAAAGGTTAGGAGCTCTAAAATGTATTGAAGCCAAATCTTAAGCGCAAAGTAAAAAATAATTTGCGTACGTCCGCGAGGTAGGACTGGAGTTTCTATAGAGTGGGCTTCCGAGGAGCAGGGGACACAGGACGAGCATCATGAGACAGAGGTCTGGAATGAGGTTCCACGGAGCGTCCGCAGTCTCCCTTGGCGACAACTATCGCTTCCTTTAGCACTCTGCAAAATTCAACGCGGGTTGATAGCCCCCAACCGTGGAGCGTTTCCACAAAGCCAGCAGATGAGCCTTCCCAGCCTCCTACATTGCACCCTTCCCCGCCCCCCAACTCCGTACTGGCACCCGGTGTGCCCGAAGGGCTGACACACGTTCTTCCAAAACCTTCAGAAGCGTTTTGCCTTGAAGGAGCTCCGTGTTTGTTTGGGTTTTTTTTAAACCATCTCCAGGATCCCTTATTATTTCCCTCCTCTCTCTTTTTTCTTTCTCTCTGTTTCTCCCTCTCTTTTTTTCTGACACTCAAGTTTTAGGATCTTTTAGTTTTTTCCATCACGTACACGTGTAGTGTTTTCTTGCACAAACGCACTGAAACATCACTTGGGAGGTTAAGGCAGGCCCGCGAGTAAAAGCTGGGGACGGAGAGGGGTGGGCAGCCAGGTGCATTACCAGCGCCTTTATGCCCAGGCCTGCACTCCCCGCTCCGGCACCACAACCGGAACTTGGAAGCAGAATTTCAGGCCAAGACGGAGCCTCCCCGTCTCTGGAAGGCGATTTCTGTTTAATTTTTTGGAAACTGCTCTGGTTGGGCCAAGGTAGCACACTCCTTTTCCGATTAGGGAGTGGACTAAGCTGGGCCGGCAGCCTGCGACCCCTTCCCCGAACCCCAGCCGACTTCGGCGGTTACCTGAGCGCCTTCCGACGGCTGCCCGCGGGGGTGTGATCATCGTCCCAGCAGCAGGCCCGCCAGGCAACTGCGCGACTCGGGGGTAGGAGGGAGACGCGGGGGTAGGGGGTGGGAGTCAAACCAAACACCGACAGGACACACCTACGTTTACGATCCTTAAATGAACTGCTAGGGAAATTGTGTAAGCATAATTTAACTGAGAGAAATTTACTGCGAAATACACTTAGAAGACTGTGGTCTTTAACAGCCTTAGGGGTTCTTCGGCAAAGAGGTAACGGGGCTTAGAGTTAACACAATCCTACGGCCACGTTTTCAAATTTGGAAATGGTATACATACTTGACAACAGGATTTATTTTGTATTGTTGCTTTCCGGTAATCTTTTTATTTTGTTTTCTAGCACAGATGAAAAAAGAAGGTTCAGGTAAGTCATTCCTGCAAACATAACCAAAATCTTCAAAGTAGGAGGAAGACTAGACGATTGCATGCCTTAACCACGATGTGCCAAATTACCATAAAAATGTACTGTAAATTACCTACACACACATTTCCTTAAAGGATGAGATAGTTTGAGTTTGTGGACTTAAAATCAACTCAGCAGTTTTGAAAAGCGTCCCCCTGCTCCCTCCACACACTCGCTGCATTTTTAACTGTGAACCTAATGTAACTTCTAGGCCTTTATACGATTAATTCTGAACAATCAAGGGACTAAGACACTTTTACAATGTAATTACAGTAGTACAAATTGTTTGCCCAAACCTCATTCTGGATAAGGATTTTACAATTAGCAAACAATTATTACAGTTGGGGCTTGCTGAGAGAAATTGTACAGAGGACGTCTAGAGTTGCAATATAGTAGCCATAAAAAAAAAAAAAAACTCCTTTAGCAGGGCAGCAATTAATCATCTATTAAAAGGAAAAAAAATGAAGGGACAGTTCTAGGTATCTTAGCAAACTACTGCCGATGTGTATGCCTATTTTGTGACAGCACCTATTCCTGACTTATTTCAGATACTTGCTTTTTTTTTTTTTTTTTTTTTTAAGGCAATAACACTTTTATTTTGCAAAAACTTGGCCTGGTGAAAAATTCTGTCACTTGGCCCTAGCTCAGGCCTTCCATTCTCTTCTCATCCTTCTTATCCCAAGCATCTTTCCAGAGATAGAGAACGGTGACAAAAGGAGGCAGGCTGGGCCCTTGGTCTCTATTGTTTACACTCTTCTGTATGGAGGCATTTCAAGCCCTCAGTGCTCCTCTGAGCTGCTGGAAAAGTGGTCTTAGAGAACTCCCCTGTCTTTCTGTTCTCCTGTAAGGAATTGTGCCTCTGGAAAGACCTATCTATATCCTAAATTAGGCTTTTGTCCCAAAAGGTCACAGCGATGAGTCAGCTCCAAAACCCTCAGAACTTAGAGGCACCTCTTAAGGTAAAACGTGTGTGTATTTGCCAGCCTAGAATAAACAAAAGCCTGTTAATCAATCGAGTTTGGCAGCTGTGTTCACAAAATGATAAGGGTTTATCATTTGCCACCAAACTTTAAGATATCCCTTAAAATGTTGTGATTGGTTTTTGGGTAGTCCTGTGGTGTGGAGGCTTGGTGTTTGTATTTCAAAAACATTCATCCTCCACATCTCTCCCCCTAATTAGCATTCGTATTTCAAAAAAACAGAAATAAGAGGAGGGAGGGAAAGACAGTTTAAAGAAAATAGATTTGAAATCTAGTAGAGATAATAGAGGAATGCTGGAGATAAGAGCCTGGAGTTAATATGAGAAAAATATCACGAAGTCAAAGCTAATGAATGTCTGTGAGAAAAGTGAAATAAACTATTGAGAGATCTATTAAAGGGGGAAACCTGGTTAGGTGATATGAAAGGGAGTTAACCAAGGGGATTAGGGAGGACGTTAATCAACTGCTCCAAAGCAATACAGGCTATAAGGACTGAAAGATTTGTTTACTGCATTTTGCTTCAGAAAACAAAGAATGTCTGGGTCCAGTTCAGAAGTCAATGAGAGGTCAGCTTAGGCTCTCCAATGGTTGCAGAGAAAATACCTAAGTCACTATATTCTGACTGGACAATGCAAAAGTTAAGAAAAAAAAAGTGGGGGTAGGAGGGAGGTACTTTCCTTACTATTCTATTTCAAATAATCAAAATGCTTTGGTCTCTAGAGGGGGAAAAGACTACACTGGTTAACATAATTACTAGCTCTGACATTTTCAGAAGTTATAGAGGTCTTTTATTAAT